AGAGAGACAGACAGACAGACAGACAGACAGACAGAGAAAGGGACAGAGAAATAGAAACAGAGTCAGAGAGAGAGAGAGAGAGAGAGAGAGAGAGAAACTTACTTAGCAGAGATAGCCGGTACCTATCTTCCAACCTCTACACACTGATATTCTCCAGACACCTGGGGATGTTGAGGATGAGCGGTCCGCTGGAGACGAGGGCTTCGTCTATGGCAAGCAAGACTTGGTGAGTCACTTGTTGATGAAAACGAGTAGGATCTGATCTTTTATAAAAAAAACTAGTAGGATCGGATCTTTTATGAAAACGAGTAGGAGCCGATCTTTTATGAAAACGAGTACGATCGAATCTTTTATGAAAACTAGTAGAATCGGATCTTTTATGAACATGAGTGGGATCCGATCTTTTATGATAACGAATAGAATCGGATCTAAATGGCGATTACGTTTGAAGCTTGTAGACCAAAAGTAAATTGCAGTAATTAATTTGATGACATACATGACGGCAGTAATAACATTGCAACGACAAAAATTACTTTTTTTCTTGAAAAGTCGATTTAATATCCCTTTCCTTTTTTGTGTTGTCAGTATCCTTCAATTTTATGAACCGTTTCTCTCTTGAAATCTTCTGGATTTTCTTTCACTTTTATTGTTTTGTGTTGATGCTGATGTAGTCGTCGTAGTTATTTCTGAAGATGATGATAATGATGATGATGATGATGATGATGATGATGATAATGATGATGATGATGATGATGATGATGATGATGATATATTTTTCACAGTCCAAAAAGCTGAAGGAAAAGAATAAGGAACTTGTGGAAAAATGCCGTGCCTACCTACAACGGACCAAAGAGCTAACAGCTCAGAACCGTGCTTTCAAAGACAGCAGTGACAGAGCACTGCAAGAAAACAAAAAATTGGTGAGCGTTACTTCAAATACTCGACAGACAATCTATCTCTCACTATCAGAGTTTAAAGTTTAAAGTTGTCTTTGATCCGGATCTGAAAGAAACTGCCTTCTACAGCTTCAGATAAAAAAGAAGTAATCCACTCTTCGTTGCGTCAGTTTTATTATATCATGATTCCGCGATAAAAACAAAGGTAGCTATAAAAAAGCAACATCATCAACTTAGGCAATAACGACAGAATAGAACTATAACAATAATATTTTAAAAAATTATTTTAGTAATTTTTATTTTTGCTATGGATGCTAATGCTAGTTGTGTACTTTAGATTTGCTGCAGTAGATCCTTTCTTTTTTACTTAAGTTGTGTGCAACTCATAGAGGAGCGAAATCCCAAAGGAATCGCATTTTCCATTATTGTCTTCCCTTTCTATTTCTCCAGCAAGAACTTCTGGAACATTCCAAACTTCGTCTGCTTCAAGTGAGCAGACAAGTGAATGAACTGAGAGCAGAAAGGACCAACGTGACTAGTCAGACGGAAAAAGTGGAAGAAATGAGAAAAGAAATGATTGAGGACAAGAAAACGATAAATGCTCTCCGACAAGCCTGTTCTGTGAGTGTCTATAGCAAACGTAACAGTTTTCTTCTATATGTTGTACCAACTGTTGCGTGGAGATAAAGGGACTCAGGCAACTTATGTTGACCTCTAACAATGTCCAGTTATCACAATATTCTCATCGTGGGTGGTTGGCAGGTGCTCTGGTGTGGTTTGCTTCTTCTTGTCTATTATCTTTCCCCCTTCTTTCCTTTATATATTACTCTCAAGTAACACCTCTAATCTCCGGCTCTTGTATGACCTTTTTGTGTGGCTATTACCGTAAAGCTCTAAGTAAAAGACTAAAAGTAGTATTCTCATCCATCGGTTTGATTTTCTGACCACTGTGGCCTCGAGTCATTAAGGGAAGAGAAAACATCAGAATCTCAGTGAGATCCTGATTTGGTTTTGGTTTTCTAGTAGGACATTAACACCTACAGCTGGGTTTGGTCTAAAATGGCGACGCTGTGATTGACCAACAGAAACCCCTTGTGATTATCTGACCCGAAAACACCAAAGTAGTCGTTTGTTTTACTTGAACAGATTGTAACACATTTGGCGTAATTTAAAGTGTCAGACGCCAGTGAGGTTGTTAAGCAAGCAAACCTTTGCTCACTATTCGAACGTTGACTAAATGTCGAAATCAGTAAAGAGACCAGGAGTATTAGTCATTTTCATTTTTAATTTGCTAATTAAACAAATGGTTTGTGTTTTTTTAAATTTTACTTGGCATTCTTGGATCGATGTTGATGATGCTTTATGATTTGGGCTAAGTCACTGGTCACACACACACACACACACACACACACAC